CGACGGGCAGACAATGCACGTCGCGCGAGACGGTGTGTTGGCATGCGCGACACGTATCCCGGCCATCGGATTCTGGTGCGTAATATAGTGGAGCTGAGCGGTTCACTCGCTCTTCCTGCACCAGATACGCCACGCCGAAAGCGCTCATTGCTCACGCGGTGCTCTCACTAGACACAAGCTAAGCTGCGAAGGCAGCGATGATCGAATGTGACGAGCCTCTTTATATCTGTCGACCTGATGGGCGAAGTTTCACAGCCATATAGGAGTGTAGAACGGACGGCTGCGTTATAGACTCCGTCCTTCAGGGCAAAGATAATTTATTGTCTGCGCCACAGGTGGCGATTGGCAAAATCACCTTGGGCTGTTACTATACGGTTCGTAACCTCATCTTCGATCCCAAACTACGTAATCTACAGTGAACCGCGGTTGCTCCAAGTAACACCAGTCAGGTAATGACGCAGAGGCAGTTTCCTGTCAGCCACTCGCCTCTGTACAACCGCATGCAATGTTCGAAATTTTCAGATGTTCCTTGGAGCAAACATCAAGAACACAAACAAAGTCCGGACGACTTCCATAGACAAAAAGACATAAAATAGATCCTTGTGCACAGTGTCCCCGAGCTTTAAACACTAAGCGAGCTAGAGGCCATAGCGTATGACTGGGATAATTGGCGTTTCATTCGTGAAGTGCTCTCACTCGAAAACGCCATCGCCGATTCGATAGCAAGGTTACTGCTTTCATGTAACCACAGAGGGCATGGTCCCGGAGTGGCGAAAGTAATGTTACAATCCAGTAATTGCGGAAAGTGAGATCGAATTGTGGCACAATGTGCGTAAAATGACGCTATCGAAGTAAGTATAAAGGCGCTAGACACCCGGCCACAAATAGACAAGGTAACACTGAACAAGCAGTTTACCAGTACAACCCCGTCACCATACAACACAGAACGGGGACAATATCCAAACATACTGGCAGCTGAAGGAGGACAGGGTTATCATCCACTTTTTGGCACTGAGTACTCTACACAACCACCCGGAATGGCCATAGGCCCCGCATCAACGGTTCTACAAAGAACGACCAGCAGTCGACCCTACAAGCCTCGGCATAGACCAACATCGGACATCAGCATCCACGAACACGCTTCTGACCACCCAGGTCCTCACCTGTTTGTACACCAACGCGCAAGATCTTCTCATCAAGCTAAGCGGACTTCGTATTCGTCAAGTCCCCACGCCTTGGTACGAAGGCATGCTCATAGAAATATGGCTGAACACGGAGATTACCGATGCTGAGATGGCGCTATTTGACATTACTTCCCTACGAAACGATCGACCTAGCAGAGGTGGCGAAGTGTTCCTGTATTACCGATTCGACCTGCACGTTGATACCATTGATGATCCAGAAGCGCGTTGCTGATTCGCTTTGGTGCCATATGCACCTGAGACGTGGTGATGTGTGTTTACTAGCAGTACTTTACCATCCACCAATGTTCATCTTGCAAATGGACCACAGCCTAGCTTCTGCGGTGAAGCGAGCCCTCGCGCGACCACACAGTCACATGCTTCTGGTGGGTGACTCTAACCTAGACGCAATCGAAGTCCCAGCGTCACTCAGAGAACAATTCAAGGTTGACCTGCATGAGGTAATCGCCGATCAACCTCAGTACAACTAAGTCACATCTCCCACGCGATTCAGAACAGGTAAACCACTATTTGCTGTGGACCTTGTACTCACCAAGGAGGAACTAATGGTCGATACCGTGACCACAGATGCACCCCTTGACAGTTGCGATAACGCGATGTTGATCTTTCGTCACATCTGCTAAGCGGAGTACACAAGTGAGAACAATGAGGAAATCTATTTCGTCACCCATTAAGATATCTTGGCCGACCTCATTTAGGAAAGCAACTGGTCTTTTACAGCTGAGCAGCCACTCGATGTCACATGGATGGTGTTTGTCACCCACCACCGTGCTAGTGACAAATGCACCGGAAAGCAAGGTCTTTCGCTGGAAGCAAATGAAGTCATTTCTGAAGAACCGGACTGGGAATCAGTCTGGCGCACTTGCAAAGTTTGTCCGAGTATGCGAAAGTAGGATGCTTACAAACTTAACGAAACCACTGCGTGAAGCTATTCCGTGAAGATCAGCACTAAGAGAACATAGTGGCGAAATTTAGTATTAATCCTAATATAGTGTAAAGGCACGTCAGCAAGCTCAGCAGGGTGAAGCTCGGAGTTAGTTCTAAGTGCAACAGATGCTCTGGCGCAAAATACAGAAGAGGCGGCCAACTCGCTCCGCCAACACTTCATCTACAGGATTTTGACACACACCGCTAACAGGGTTAAACTACTCATTGCTCACGGTAGCCAATGTGATGAAAAACCATTGTCCTTGTCCATACACAGCTCTCCTGGCATAGACGATATCGAAGGCAGTGAAGACAGTCGCCCTGAACATTGTCGAACCAGTAGCTCAGTTAGTTAATGATATCTTGATGAAATGTATCTTACCACAATATGGAAACATGGAATAATCACTCCTATTCACAAGTGGAAATCGTGCAGCGCCCTCGAACCACCGTCCAATCACTCTACTCCCAATGTTATCCAAAATAATAGAAGGTATTATGATAGAAGCGCTCATAGAATACGGTGAGAACAACGACATCATAGTGTCCCAGCAGCATGGATTCTGCCGAAATCGGTCTTGCACAACAAGCTTGCATCTAGCCCGAGCAAGTTGGACAGAATCTGTCAATGTCATTAAGTTGACGTCGTCTACTTGGATCTCTCCGAAGCGTCCGACCGCCTGGACCACCGCATTCACTTTAACAAGCTTCGAAGCTATGGATTCAGTGAACTATTGCTCAGTTAGATAAACGACTTTCTCCTTCAACATGGCCGAATGTGCGAATCCGCAACTCACGTTGCGACCCCACTGACGTCCAGTGTGGCTTGCCCCAAGGGCCGGTACTGGGGCCACATATTGGGCAGAAGGAGTTTTATACTACCTATGGTGTACTATCATGCGTTACATGAGGTTAGCTAGCCACTGAATTGCGCAAATTACGGTTAGTGACAGTTGCCTCACGTGCTGATTGAGGCACGTGAGGCCACACGAGTGTACTTTTGTTAAGGCATCCGACAGCGCCAACAGCTGGTGGCGGTCAATAGTCGCTGCGTACGCTATCACGTGTTTGTAGAATCTCATCGGAATAGACTTGGACGACTTAACGCGTGCCTACTAAAAACGCCTAATCTAAACGAAATTCTTCCCTAACAACCAACCAAAGGCTAGTGAAGCGTTCACCGTACTCCTGATGCCTACATTGTCCACAGGTGGTTGCAACTCATTGCCTTTAAAATAAAATGATCAGTACTCTGAATGCAAAAGTCGAAACCGCCGTGACGATTTTCAGCTACTGTTCCGCTTTGAGCTAGCCTATGAGGTGCTAGTTCACATCTAGAAAACTATAGCATTCTCACAAAGGATTTCTTGACAGTTCGCAAGGGCTGAATACTTAGTTCGATACAGTCCCGGTGGTAAATGTTTGCATGACCTGGATGTTCATTACAGCCTTTGCTTGTAGAGGGGCAGTGCAAACTCTGCGGCCTTTGTTTCATGAAGTAGCAAGCAGTTTTCATAGCTCTAAACGAGTTAATAACACTGGCTGCTCTGTACGGCTTGTAGCCACCAGATAAATCGCCACTGGCCTCACTAAGAGACAGTCAAGCATGACATGAATCTGAAGGTGAGTTCCGCGTTCTGTTTTAAGTCAGTTGACTACTTTCAGCTCTGCGTGCTAACATGTTGTCTACAGCACCAAACGTAATAGGTTTTAGGTACTCGTTTCCTTAATTCAACGCAGAAGTCGGTGTCTTGATGCATCTGAAGTTCGGGCAAAATATTACCTTGAGTGGTCCAAGTTGACGTGTGACGTCGCATGGAAAAGAAGTAAAGCAGTTGTCTGGACACTTGGGGCTTCGTGCGTTTTTCTAGTAATATATTTCCGCATCAATACCCTCACCAAGGTTTGTGCCTTTTGGTTACCTGTATTATCTCAGTGCTCGGCTTATATTTTTGGCTTCTTTGGGTTACGTTCTTTTCACTGCTCCAACAGTGAGTCGTTATACATCGTACGCAACTTAGCACATTCATTGAAAAACCCTTCTAGCCCGATTCGAATTTAGCACATCTTTCAGGCCAGCACAGGTAATGTGCAGCATAATTCTGTCACGAATGAATAGTGTTGGGCAATTTGCCGAACATACAAATTGATTCTCGGTAAAATGCTTTAGTAGAGTCCCCTAACTCAATGAGTGTTCAATGCAAATGAGCAGTGAAAGTAAAAATATGTGAAACCAACCCAAAAACCTTTCCCTACTCCAGGGTACTCTCCCCACTTTCAGTGGGACTAAGTCGTCGGCTCGTAAAAGTAAAGCTGTAGACTCTTATAGAGCATGATTTGGCCGTTTCTCGCTACTGACTACTCCCAGTGGGACGAATTCGCGTTCGACAGTTGCCCGGGTGCGTGGTGGCTGTTTGACTGAGAGTGGCTGCGACTAACCTGAACGCTGAAAACAATTCCCCATTAAAAGAGCTGCTAACCACTTCAAAATCAGGTTCATACTTATTTTCCCGGTCTTCGGTTAGGTACGGCTAACCAAGTTTTTAGTGTCCTACTAGGCTCATTAAGCAAAAAGGAAAATATCGTAACCTGCGCTCACACATCACGACGGGTATTGGAGAATCCCTTCTGGTACTATTAGTCAGATCTCTCATTGAAATAAGCGAGCAGCCTAAAACAAATGCAAACCGTGTGCGGTGCACAACGACCTACATCGCCTATCCTACCAGATTGGAACTATAACTCAGATCAGTTTCAAAGGGCCGACAATTATAGGTCCTTTGGATTGATTCTACTTAATCCGCTGTACTAAGTTAGTGTGTCGTTAAATTTGAGTGTATACATGCACCGTTTCATGCGTTCGAAGCTTACTTTTCTTGCAAGGCCTTCGTCCACATCTCGATTGGAATGTTAAGTCCTGACGTAATACTAATGGTCGGTAGATTTGGTGCTTCTATAGCATGAACGAAAATCAAATAGTCTCCTGGTCTGTATAGTTCCGTGAGAAACCAATTCACTGCTCGGCCGGCAGGTGCGCTCCCATCGACTGGTAGACATACCCGTCTTTTTGCTGTGGTGGCTGAAGTGGACATTCGTCTGTCCTCGCGACTCATCTTCCCGGGTGTACCAAGAGGCTACTCTGCTTTACACAAGCGGAGGTAACTTAACTGCTGTTCAAGCTGTCACGCGATTGGTCACACATAATCTTTATGCCTGAAAACTGATTGGCAGATATGCCCCACCTGCAATTGATTCGGCCATGCACTGCGTGGCACGTAGCGTAAGCCAGCGATCGAACAGCATGCGTCAGGATAACGCGACCACAACTCCAAAGAGTTTGGTCCGTGGGAAAGAATCCAAGCTGCGCTATTGAACGGAATTCAAAATAACCAATGCGTTACCGTTAAGGTGTGGTTCTTTTGGAGGATGCTGTTTGGGGCTACGTGACCATGCAGCTGGTAATACCTACGAACGGGAAATATGTTTGGTTGGCGACATCAGGTTTCGGATTTGCCTGTCACTGTGGCCAGCCACAGGACGTCTGAGCCTACAGAGGGATCATGGGTGGCTTGCGCTGCACCACCCAAATCTTCAACCACACACTCCATATCCAGTGTAAACCAGAAGGAATAAGACCGGGAGGCATGCGGATGGGAGCCACGTTTCATCAACGGAGTCGGCCCACACTCCTTCCCAGGCAAACACAAGCACCCTGTATTTGGGAATCAATCGCACACAACGTTGAGAGTCATACTAATAGTTTATTTCTGCCTTTGTATTCACAGGGTCATACTTTTATCAGTAGGCGGAGTTTTCCTTAGGTGAACAAGGGCAAGCATGGCTCTGAATTGTGCGTCCAAATTTGGCTACGAAGGCAAACAAATAAGACGAATTTCCTAAGAACGAAGATACATTTGATGGCATGCGGATATTGATGATATTGGGCCAGTGTCTTGAACTGCTATGTATTTGCATATACGCAGCTCCGCTTTTGTTCGGTACATCCCACGGGTAGATGCTGTACGGATCGGAGCTAGCATGCATAAAGCCTACATCCTCCCTCTGGCCGAAAATCTAGGCGAATCATGACGGTTTCGAGGTCGAGCATTATGTGTTTTATAGGAACAATGGGATGGCTGGACCTCAACGCTTCTGGTGACAGACGGTGTAGGGACAATCATCATTTCAAATCGGTCCACTCTTGTGGCACCAACCGAAATACCAGGTTCTGTTGACAGAGTACGGGTGGACAGTTTCTGACCGGTTCACTCGCATGCCCCATTTTTCATCCGAACAGTAGTCAGTTTGCAGTGTATGCTAGAGTCCCTGGTATTTATTTACAAGTCAGTAGGATTGCAGGTGAGCAACCGGGGTGTTCGTTTGGTAAATAGACGGTAGACAATGGTTAAATCGGTTTCACCCCAATGCAACTGTTCATCATTCCTTTGCATAATGTGCCCCTCTAGGCAGTTGCAAAGCAGAATTCTAGCAGGGGATTGGTGTAAGCGCAGTGTTCGACTGGTTGCCTCGATGATCGAAGCTCACACCAGAGCACTATAGCCATCAGGTTACATGAAGACAATCTTTTAAGGTGCAGAGCACACACCGTTGGTTACAGAAGTGTATTCAGGGGTGAGTAAATGAAATATCACTACACCTTAGTGAAGGTACCAGCTTCCTGGTAGAAGGAGGTACTAATGTGTAGACAAAACCATACTGAAAGAAATACTGTAAAAATCGATGCTTGCAACTGGCATTAGTACTGCGGTGTATAGTTGCCATCGTTACATCACTTCTTCAAAGGGTTAGCAAATCAACATTCGGGTCATTGCGCGCAACTTCAGTCAGCTGCTTATATAAACATGGCACTGTCAAGCGCACGTGACACACGGACCTATTTTATAACCCTCCTAAAATTGCTTGCATCTGTTGATTAAATGTTTTGTTGCGGCCACTGAACTCATGCTCCTAAGGTATAATGAGTGGAACCTTGATGAACTTTCTGATACATTTTCTGTGAACAGTGAATGCCACTGGTTCATTGCAGGAAGCGGCATCCGCCGATACCGAATCCAGAAGAAGTCTTGATGTGTCTGACTACTGTCGGCGTATGAAGCTGTAACTTTTCAGTCAAATGTGCCTGAGGTTGATTCACTAAAAATTTTTCTGGATAGAAACAACATCACGATCTTAGTCGTTTAGAATCATGCAGTTTCACATCAGCTTAAGCACTACAGAAATATTTTGTTGACATAGTATACCCCAAGAAATGATGCAGCGTATGAATTGTGCTTATGGACAGCGGCCCACTTATCTTAAATATTGATGCCGTCTCCACAATTGACAGCGTGCTCCTCTTGGTACTTTATATCGTTGCAGAAGAGAATGAGGTGTTGTTGATCTCGGATAACCATCCATGTGCTCAAGTTTGACAGGATTTCAGAAAGCAAGCTGAAGACATCTATCGCTATGTTCAGTTGGATGGACGTTGTAGAGCATTACAGCTGGATTTGTGCAAACAACACTTTAAGAGAAGACCGTTTGATCATATTTTCTGGCCAGGATCAAGCACATGAAGCTTATCAGATGACTCCTAACTCCCTGGCGTGCACCATACGCTGTACTGTCACGTTTCACATTTTCATAGATATGAAACCGAATACTACAGGAGTGATCCAGCATACACAGCTTCGTGTTGCTGAGTATCTGCAACCAGATAGCACTGAGATCTCACATTCAGACCCTATATATATATATATATATATATATATATATATATATATATATATATATATATATATATATATATATATATATATATATATATATATATATATATATATATATATATATATATATATCATGCACATGTCTCAAACCCCAGTAACTGAGTGATGAGGAGTCCGTTTCGCAAACTACGATGGCGACTGGCCCGAGAGCTCCGTCGCATTAAAAATGCTTGGTGGACTGAGAAGGCGAAGCAGATGGAATTCTACTCCAAACGCCGCCTACACCATGATTTCATTGACTCCTTGTCTTTTGAACAACCGTTCAAAAATCGACTGGCCTACTTTGAACGGCCTGAAGCAGAACGATGTGAAGGCGAGTCTAGCGGACGCGCCGACACTGGATGAGACGCAGAGGGCAATTGCTCAGCTGCGGAACGGCAACTGTGCCGAGGCCGATGGGATTGCGCTTGAAGTACTGAAACAAGGCGGACGCGCGCTGGTGACTGCGCTGCACCACTTGGTATAACGTGTGTGGATTGAGGAAGACGTACATCCTGAGCTGAAGAATGCCCTTGTGCTACCACTGTACAAAGGCAAATGTGGCAAGCAAGGTTGCACGAATTATCTTGGCCTCAACTTGTTGATTTGTGTGGGCAAGGTGAGTGCCCAGATCCTGCTCAACGGTCTAGTTAGTCATGTTGTGGAACCGAACACGGCGGAAGAGCAGTGCGAATGACTTTCGAATCGCAGCATAACAGATATGGTGTTTGCGGCTCGTCAGTTGTAGGAGAAGAACAGAGAACGACAGCGGCGGTTGTACTCGCATTTTGTTGATGTCACCAAAGCATTTTATACGATAAACCGCGAGGCATTGCGGTTGTTGTTAGGTAAGTTTGGTTACCCGCGTACGTTGGTAACTTTAATTGAATGTCCGCACAGTGGTATGTGTGCAAGCATGCAGCTGAGTGGAGAGACCTCGGATGACTTTACAGCTGTTACCGGTGGGAAGCATGACCGTGTCTGAGCTCAATCCCTATTTAGTATTTATCTGCATGCAATGATGTATTGTGCGTTTGTGGCTGGTGGTGCTTACAGTGTTTGTGTGGAGTGTGTGTGTGACGGCGGTTGCTGAACATCCGTCGTTTCGGTGCGAGAACCCTAGTCTGTAAGACAAATATCCGTAGGTCGCTGTTTGCTGACGACTGTGCGTTGTTTGCACACTGCGCGGATGAGTTGAGGCACATGACTAGTGGTCTGGCTTCCACAGCAGCCAAATTCGGGCTCACCATCAACATATATATATATATATATATTATATATATATATATATATATATATATATATATATCGCGGACTCATTGCTAACCAACTTACTTCATATGGAAATTTAGCGAAGAATAATGCCACTGCGTCTGTATGCATTATGTGCATTTATTTTATTTGAGCTTGTCGTTTAAAGTGAATGGCTGTTGCTTGATATTCCCGGTGTGGCTGCGCTTGATGTGCATGTTGACAAGGTGCCTACCTGTCTATTACCCACTACCTCGTTCATACTGGCTCCAGGAGACAGTTGGTCGTGGCTGGAGGGGACTGGAATCACGGTCCTTGTGGTCGTGCTAAGCTCGAAGAGTGGTTCCATGCACTCAGTGTGGAGCGGACTACGGTCTAGCCACCGCCTTATGTGCGTTTGATTCCCTAAATACAGTGTGCTTGTGTTTGCCTGTGAAGGAGTGTGGGCCGGCTCCGTTGATGAAACGTGGCTCCCATCCACATGCCTCCCGGTCTTATTCCTTCGGGTTTACACTGGATATGGGGTGTGTGGTTGGAGCTGTGGGTGGTGCATCGCAAGCCACCCATAGTATCACTGTAGGCGCAGGCGTCCTGCGGCTGGCCACAGTGACAGGCAAATCCGAAACCGGATGCAGCCAACCATATATATGGGTGAATGGGCTTCGTGCACTCCTGGCTATCAAGCGCTTGCTGCTACCAATATTCCACATTCGTTTGTGCATTCGGTTGGACAAATTGGGTGTAGTGATCAACAAGTATACCTGGAGTCCAATGACTCTCCAACTTTTCCTAGCTTTGGAATGCAGTTTGGAATTTTGGTGTTCAAGGTCCAACAGTTTTTATTGCAAGCGTCCACAAGTTGGCTCGTCCATGTGATTTACCTTCCTTTTTACTAGGACTGAAGTATGGACAGATTGCGCATGAGTTGTATTTTGTTTATTGTACGGTAGTTAACGTCTTGTTTGAGCTAGCGCGTTTTCACGGTTTCCTCGAGACTCACAATGAGTCTGTCGTTTACATAAATAGTTTATCGCCACAGTTGAGTATACAGCGACATCTGCCAAGTGTTGGGTAATCGGATGTGATACAGGTTACTAGGTGCAAATTGGCTAAAACAGTTTGCGCACTTTGTTGAAAGTCGAATGTACGACAGAATGCACTGGGATTTGCCA